CCACTGGTAATGGATTTACCCAGGTCACACTTAGCTCTGGCTGCAAGTGAAACACCAGCTGAAGCTCCTGTTAGAGCTTGTCCTAAATTAAGACAGCTGAGAATTCTCCTATTTTATAAGTAGCAGTGAAACTCCTTCATAATACATTCAAGGAATCCTCTTAGTCCCCCCCCCCCGACCTACTTTATTTTTGTTTTTAGGACATATTTTTTATTTTCAGAAAAAAAGAGGGAAAAAAGATACTACAAAGAATAAGACAACAACAAAGACAACAGACAACAACAACAACTACTGCAATAGTGGGGCTCATACTTTGTCCCTGGTTAACATAAGAAATAGAACTGAATGTTATCTTGTACACCTATACACCTGTACAGTCAATTTTAAAAGATAGCATTTGCTTTTTAAGTTATTTTCAGGATTTCTGAGTATAGTTCTCAATCCATCTACACAGTCTCGACCAGTTATTTTCAAAAGTTCCATCTTTTTTTCCTTGTAACTGTAGGTTTAATTTATCCATTTCTGCTGCTTCAAGCAATTTACATATTATTTCCTCTTTTGTGGGTGTTTCTTCTTTTTTCCAGTATTTTGCATAGAGTATTCTAGCAGACATCACAACATGTACAATCATATAAACATGCTGTTTTGTAAAATTTTGTGGGATAATGTTTGATAAAAACAATTCATAATTAAATGGTATGCTTGCATCTAATATTCTTTGCAGTATTTCATGTATCCATATCCAATATGTTTTTGCCATTTTACAAGACCACCGCATATGGTAAAAAGAACCAGTTTTGTTTTTACATTTCCAACATAAATTTGACATATTAGGGTACCATTTAGCTAGGTTTTCAGGAGTGATATACTATCTATAAAACATTTTATATATATTTTCTTTGTATGAAACTGCTTTTGTAAATTTTATATTAACCTTCCACACCCTAGACCATTCCTTCATTTGTATATTGTGGCCTAAATTTTGCACCTACTTAATCATTGATTCCTTTACAACTTCATCCTGCATTTTCACATGTAATAACAGAGTGTAAATTCGCTTTATATATTTCCCATCTGTTCCAAATATAATTTTATCAAGCTCTAGGGGTGTATCATAAAAACCAGTTATTTGGTCTTTAGGAAATCTAGAGTCTATTTGTGCTCTTTCCCACCAATTCAAACATATACCTTTTTTCTTGAGCTCCTCTTGTTTACGTATTTGTTTTTGACCTTTTAACAGATCTTCATATGTCCAAAATAGATCTTTTGTAAATGTCATAGGGTTTGTAAAAGCTTCTAATGGTGAAACCCTTTTAGGGATTTTGGTATAGTATAGTTTTTGTATCTCTTCCCATGATTTCAATAATGCTGCCCTTACAACGTGGATTAAAATACTTGTGAATACTACTTTTCCTATACCAGACGAAGCCATGCCACCCTAACTGTAAATCATGTCCTTCAAGCTTTAATAATCTTGAATTTTCTAATGTGATCCACTCTTTCATCCAGGTCATAGTCGCTTCTTTATAATATAGTCGCCAGTCTGAAAACGCTAAGCCTCCTCTTTTGAATCTTGCAGGACTTTCATCTTGATTCTAGGTCTTTTCTCTTGCCGGATAAATTGTCTCACCAATTTATCGATTTCTTTTAAATACTGTTGATCTTTTATAATTGGTATTGTGTGGAATAAGAAAATAAGTCTTGGTAGTATATTCATCTTCACTGCCGCTATTCTTCCCATGAAAGATAATTGTAGATGTTTCCAATTTTCTAAGTCTTTCTTGATCGCAACCAGGAGTTTTATATAGTTTTCTTTAAATAGAGAGCTGCACCTATTGGTTAAATTTATTCCTATATATTTTATTGCCTTCTTTACTTCAATCCCCGAGGACTTCTGAATTGTTTGCATTTGCTTCTTAGTACAATTTTTTGTTAAGATTTTAGTTTTCTTAAGATTGACTTTTAGTCCTGCATATTGTCCATACTCTTTTATTATGTTGAGAAGTTGATCAATTGTTGTTTGTGGGTCTTCCAATATAAAAACCAGATCATCTGCAAATGCTTGGAGTTTATACTCTTCCCCTTTAAGTTTAAGTCTTCTAATGGTATTCTGCCTTCTTACCATGCCACAGAGTGTCTCCAAAGCAAAAATAAATAAAAGGGGAGATAGCGGACAACCCTTTCTGGTTCCCTTTCCAATTTTTATACTTTGTGAAAGATCTCCATTCACCATAATTTTAGCCAACTGTTTTGTGTATATTGCTTTAACCATTGTGTAAAAATAATCACCACATTTCCATGCCAACAGTTGTTCCAACATAAAAGACCAGGCAAGATTGTCAAATGCCTTCTCTGCATCTAAAAAGATCAATGCCATTTGTTTTTCAGGATGTGCTTCAAAATACTCAAGTACATTCAAAATTATTCTCACGTTATTTCTCATTTGCCTCTTTGGCAAAAATCCCAATTGGTCTTGGTAAATTGTCTGAATCAACACTTTTTTCAACCTATTAGCTAATATTGGCCCCGGTCACATGGAGCATTAGGCACGTCAGAGAGATGGAAGATAGGCGGATTTTTCGGGCGCGATCTCACCACCACATCTGGGAAGCGTAGAGCTCCTGTGGCTCACCCGAGGCTTCACTCCGAAGATGCGGGGTAAAAAACTAGTACCTCCGAGGTACTAGTTTCCGGAAACCGCGGGGCATGAGCGGGCGTCCGATCGCATTTCCAGTGGTAGTTCCGGCGCCCACCAATGTCCCCTCGCTAAAAGGTTTTTTTTGTCAAGTCTCCACGGGTGTGCACCCAACGGCGCATGCAAGCACTTGGGTTAAAAAAACAACACAACCCCTGCGGCGCTGCTTCTTTGCTGCGCCGCAGGAGTAAGGTATGATCGGCACCTCCCCCCAACCACAGGACGTCGGCGGGACGTCGGGCGGGACGTTTGATCCGGCTGCCCGCACGGTAGTTCGCTCCGGGGCAAACAGCCATGCCTCCCCCCCGCGATATCCGGCCCATGTGACCGGGGCCATAGATGCATAAATCTTATAGTCCACATTAAGTAGTGAAATTAGTCTATAGTTTCGAATTTCTTTCTCGTCTGTATCCGATTTATGTATCAATGTGATCAGTGCCTGGTTCCAAGTCTCTAGTAACTTCCTTTCTTCAACTATGTTTTGTATTGTCAGTTTCAGTGGTAGGGCAATTTGATCTTCAAATGTCTGATAAAACTCTGCAGGAAACCCATCCAGTCCTAGTGTCTTCTTTTTCTTCTGGCTTTTAATTGCTTCGGTTACTTCAGATAAAGAAATTGGCTCATTTAACATTTTCCTCTGTTCTTCTGTAAATTCTTTCTTGTTATGCTTTTAAAAATTCTCTAATCTGATCTTGATCAGTGTTCCCCTGGTGGTATAAATTTTTGTAGAAGATTTCAATAATATCTTTCAAATCACTATGAATGTTCTTTTCTTCCCCTCTTTCATTTTTCAAAGTCTTTCTGTGCTTCTTTTCTGAATCTTTCCTTAATTTATATGCTAGCCATCTTGTCGGCTTGTTTGCATTTTCAAAAAAAATATGTTTTGCAAACATTATTTTATTTGCAATCTCTTGTGTTAATAAACGATTAAGTTGGTGCTATAATCTTGATCCTACTTTAAAAGAGTGAAATACTTTCTGACCAGTCCTATGGCTTTTAAGTTGCCTGTGCAGCTAGAGCAGAAAGGAACACTAGTTTAACTTCTTTGCCACTAATCCAAGGAAAGTTATCCTTGCCCAAGAGCCATAGAGATCAAGGCTGCAGTCACACGAGCAGTTCACGCTGATATAGTTGCGTTATCTTTGTGGATTTAAAGAGCACGATCAGACAACAATATGTGCCTTCCATGCCCCAGTTGTCAGCACCCCACTTTGCCTCACTTTAGAAGCAGAGTAATCAGGCACTGGGGAAAGTCCGTGTTTACGGATGCCAGCACTTCCACTCCACGTTTCCAGCTGTCTGAACTCCCCTTTTGTTAAATCAAGCCATTTGGGAAGTCTGAACCTTCCCTTCCATTTCCACCTCCTTTTTTAAAAAAATCAGGTACTGATGTTCACATAAGTGCATAATCACCCCAGGCTCTTTTTGTAGCAGGAACTCCTTTGCATATTAGGCAACACACCCCTAATGTAGCCAGTCCTCCAAGAACTTACAGAGCTCTTCTTACAGGGGCTACTGTAAGCTTTTGGAGGATTGGCTACATTTGGGGTGTGTCGCCTAATATGCAAAGGAGTTCCTGCTACAAAAAGAGCCCTGTTTGAGAGTCCATGGGGAGTTGTTTTCATAGATACATGCTTATGCACATGGGTGAAAGATAAAAAAAAGACTGCCACATCAATCTGAACTATCGACCATGGGGCAAGCGCTCAGTGAAGCCAGTTCAGGGTGGGATGTCTGATCAAAATTTCCTGCAACTATTTAAATTGCCACAAATAGAGGCACAGCCAGATCACACCAAGCCTCCAATGTGACCGAAGCCCAACAGTAAAAATATTTGTAGCTCACTTAAGTCTGATGTGATTTCACCAGGGCTTCAGCCTCACTGCTTTAGAGTCAGGATTTGGCTGTCATGGAAGTGATTAGTGCTTTAGTAGTCCAACAAGTATTGTAGCTGCCTGACTAAAATGTCTTTTTCTGTAGGGATATTTTATGAGAAAAATATCATCACACACTATACGGCCAGGTTTCCAATAGGTGGTAGGTAACAGTAGTGCAGTGGCTGCTCAAGAGTTATGTATCGCCCTAGAAGACCCAAGCAAAATTGCAAAAAAAATCTGCTCTAGGATTAGAAAAAATATTTATATTTCATAGGATGTTCTCTGTGTTGCTTAGTAGTTAGATTATTTTTGTTGCTTTTCCTAGTCCATGTTCTGCTTCTACAGAAGACAGAAAACAACTTGGTAACATGCTTTGGGATGGAAAACAGCTCAGATTATTTTTGTATTGCTCAGGTTGGTCTCTATAAAGAAAAAGTTAGCAACCCCTGTTGTATAGGCTAGGTAGCTGCCCTGGAAGATGCAGGTTAACTCCTAGCATAGCCAGAATTAGGCATGCAAGATATGTAGAGCAATGTTATGTATATTTATGGCATGATATTGCACAAGTGCACATGAGATATCTTGACACCTGTGTTTGTAAGGGATGGGTTTCAGGACAATTGTCCTCTATGGTGTCGTGCCTCTTGCAGAGTCCTAGGATGTCAGAGGGCTTTAGGGAGCCCTAAAAGAATGAGTCTTGATTTCAAATTTTACTTTGAGCTGAACTGGTTCAGAAACCTTTGCAGGCCTGATCTGTCTAGTAGAGAGAAAAAATAAAGTGCCTACTTATCAATTAAAATGGTTTTCATATGTGTGCAGAAAAAAGTTTCTTCCTTCCATGGAAGAATCTGCAGAAGATGGAACCACACCGATTATGCCGGAGATGAGCCGTGTGAGTAACAGCGACCCGCAAACTGCTTTAACTGCATTTGAAACAGAAAAACAAAATAATAGGAAGAACTTGATGGGCATCAGCAGGTGTTTGAAGGAGAGTGCTCATGCTGGTGTTGAGAAAACAGACTGTTTTCCATGGCAAAGGAATGAAGCTCCTCCTGTTCCTCCAAGAAGCACTTCTCGGCATCTGACAAGTTCTCTTTCTGCAGCTGTCCAAGTTCCTGAGGCATTAACAAAAGATCCAGGGCACAGAAACCATTGTCAGACTCAGGAGTGTAAGAACAGCAATACCTTTATTAATACATCTGTTTCAAAATTATGTGATGCTCTAGGGCCACCATCAAATGAATGGAACTCTGTTAGTGGTCCTGCTGTGGCTACCACAGTGGCCACAGGAAAAAGGGATCTGTCCACTGAATGCAAACTGTCAGTGGGATTTTGTCATAACACATGGACCTGCAAACCAAACAAGACTGGGAATTTCACTAAGAATGATTCTGCCCCACACTCTGTCCAAAAGAGCTGTTCTGACGGAAACATGGTGTCCCCAAAGCAACATCCTGAATCACAAAGCAGTGTGTGTTACTCCAGTGACTTTTACACTCCTGTGTGTGACACCCTGGGTGATTCTGGATATGGAACTGGAAAGACTCAGCGGAATGAAACACTGGAAGCAAAGATTGATGAGTTTAACAGAACTGTATTTCATACGGATAAAGGCCAAAAGTGCCCACCCAAGAGCCAAATGCCACCAAGACTATCTGCAGATCCTCACTCCAATGGTGTGCTGCAGGACTGTGTGAAGAACAGAACAGAAGAAAGTGAGGACTTTACAGATGTTTCCGCTCCTAGACTTTCGTTAAGAATGAAAGAGAAACCCAGCAATACCAATAAAAACACCAAAGCAACAGGACAGCAAAAACAAGTAAATGGGCTTCTGAGTAGCTACCAACATATGCTTCATGAACATGATTGGAGGCCAAGTAATTTGTCTGGTCGGCCACGATCAGCTGATTCAAGGTCAAACTATGGTGTTGTTGAAAAGCTTTTGAAGAACTATGAAAAATCAACTTCTTTGTGTAATTCGAAGTTTCACAAAGAGAAGTGGGCACAGTCAAATTCCACATTTGTTGGTGGCCACTGTGAGACTGTGGGTCATTATTCTGAAATGTTCCAGACAGACCTAGGAAAGCAGGAGCTGCAGAAGAATTCAGCCAGGCATGTTGGACTTTACACCAGACAAGGCAGAGAGAAGCAGAAATTTCCTGAGGTAATATTTTAAAATTAATGAGTTTTTAATTTTTTAAAAATCAGAAGATAGTCAGTATGGTGTAGTGGTTAGTACATTCGCTCAGGCTAACTTAATCTCACAGCATTGCAGTGGGGATAAAAGGGAGAAAAGGGGAGAAGGGACAAATTAGGGGTATAAATGGAGAAACAGATACTGAATTGTTTGAGGTAGTGCTTTTCAAATTGTGGGTCAGAGCTTGAAAGTGAGTTGTGACTTTCTCACAGACTTGGTTGTAAGGCCAAGAGAGAAGCAGGGGAACAGGGAGAGCTTGGAGAAGACTCAATAAAAACATAAATTTGTTCAATGGTAACTGATGTGAGATTCCTGAGTTTTATACTGTGGAAGGAGAAAGTTGTGTGGAGTTACTTTGCAAGAAGGGGGAGATCTTCCAAAACCAATTTAAAGGGAATGTTCTCTTTAAATGGGTTTTACAAGTGGGCATTGTGTGGGAGTGGAGTCCAAGTGGCAAATTCACATGGAAGTGGTGAATTCACCACTTGGACTCTGCTCCCATGTGGTGCCCGCTTGCAAAACCCATTTAAAGGGAACACTTGGAAGCAGGGGGGAGCAAGCGGGATCACTGAAATGGCCTGTATCTATTTCAGCCTGTTAGGTTGAAATAGATGCAAGCCATTTCAGCAATCTCTCTCACTCCCCCCTCCCGCTTCCCACACAACCCCCCTCAAAACCACATGGAGGTTTATTGGAGGGTCGTGGATTGAGGTGGGCATAAACCTCAGTTCACAAACCATGAACTCGGCCAAACCCTATACTTTTTAAATTACTTTTAAATTACATTTTTAATTACATCTAATTTTGACCAAAGTCTTTGTCAATTATCCTGTTACTCTTGAGGATAGCATTACACATTAAGTGAAATTCTGTGATTGGATTGTTTGTATTTGTATTGAACATAGCCGCTAGAGTTTTGATTTAAAGGGAGAGGCCCTCTTTAACCTTTTTGCTCTTGCCTTACAGTCTGGCTAAAAATCTCCTCTAGGGAGATTTGTCACGAATTTGGCTGGAGACCTGCTATTATAACTGATCTCCAGGTGACAGAGATAATCATCTGGAGAAAATGGCTCCTTTGGAAGGTGGACTCTATGGCATTAAAGAGTCTCCCCTCCCCAAACCCTGCCCTCCTCGGGCTCCAGCTCCCAAATCTCTACGTATTTCTCAACCTGGAGCTGGCAATCCTAGTGCTCAAGATGGTGTTTATTAAAGATTACTTAGGTGTTACAGGCAAGATGATGGTTACAAAATACAGCAAAAGCATTTTAAAAAACACATTTATTTGTTTTATTGTATTTTAATCTTATTGTACGCCGCTTTGAGCCTGCTTGTGCAGGTAAGGTGGGATATAAATCAAAATAAATAAATAAATAAATAAATAAGTGCTCCCGCCAGTCTGCCAGCTATGGCTGGCAACCCTATACTGCCTCAGTCTCCAGGAATGTCTAAAGCGATAGCTGGCAACCATAGTCTTGTGTATTTCGGATGCGCACAGGCAAGGCCACTGTATGGCAAGGAGCCAATAGTGAATCTTCATCGATGCCATGTTTGCCCTTTATTTACCCTCTTTCACTCTGTGGCAGGTGCCAGTTCTCCAAACAGGTGCCTGACTCCTTGTATCTTAAATGTAATTTTAAGAATCCAAACAAATGGTGGCCACATACACTTAGCTTGTTATTCCTGTTTGGCTCTCACATCTGTTAAAGCATCTTCATTCTGTTGTATGCTAATTTGCTGTTCACCCTCTACCCATATGTATGGACATAACTTCCATTTCAATGTGTCTGAGGAAGTATGCGTGCCCATGAAAGCTCACACCTTGAATAAAACTTTGTAGGTCTTAAAGGTGCCGCTGGACTCAAACTTTGTTCTACAGCTGCAGACCAACACGGCTACCCACCTAAAAACTGAACATTGCAATTGTCACACTATCTAGGAAACTGACATTCAGTAAATAAAAGGCAAACAACTGACTCCGATATACCTCTTGTAGTGGCTCATCTCCATGTACCAAGTACTTTAGGTGAAATAAAGTAGAATGACCTCTTGATATTTATCAGGCTGAAGCCTAAAATGCCTCACAATTCTAAAGGGACAGAATATGAAACTTAATTACTTTCAGGTATTCAGCAGATCCCATTGAGATTAGATTTAAGCAGACCTGAATCTGAAACAGAGGGTAGTCCATCCATCTTTAACTGTCAGTGTGGGCCGATGTAGGCCGAATCAGTTGTTATTTAAGATCTATATATCACCATTAGATCAATTTGTCACTCAGTTTGCAATCAGCACAGATGATGTTTGTTTAAAAGTTTTAAGATCTGACTTCATGCTGACAAGAGTCTTGAGTAATGGAGCCATCAAAAGAACCACACTCTGCAGCCTGTTTATTGATTCAGTCCTCCTCTGGCTGTGTGCCAGTGGTCATATGACTCAACTCTGTTTAAAAAAAAAACCTTCTCAAGTATTTTGTGCTTTCTTTTATGCCATGTATTTCTTGGACACACACAAGAGTTCCTCTGCCATTACATCTTTACATTACTATGTAAATGGTAAATAATACATTCCCTGTGCCTTTTAATAAACTGAGGCCACCTGTTGTAAGATTGTCCAGTGTACGTCATAGCATTCTCTTAGCATTTCATGGTTGGCTCTTTTTTTGTCCTGTTCTGACTTCTTAATAGTCTTGTTTATATCGTAGGTATCTCTGCCAGTTAAGCAGCCTACTGGGAAAGGCTTCTCTCGTCCAGCTCGACCAGCAAACAGACGCTTGCCTTCCAGGTGGGCCTCCAGGTCACCCTCAGCACCACCTGTCGTGAGGAGGACAGCTCTGAATTAAGGCTCTTGAACTTTGTCAAATGGTCTCAAGTGGTTTAAGCTGAAAAGGGATTTGATGCTCCGTGCCTCGTTTGGACTCTTGTTTCCCATGTTCCTGGCCACAGCCAGTTCTGTGCAGTCATCTGCTGGTTAATAGTAACCCATCTCTTGACTTGTTGGAGAAATGGTTCTGGTTCTTAGATCATCCTTACAGTCTTCAGTGTTTTTATTCATTAGGTAACAATGTCCCCCGTGTGTGTGTGTGTGTGTGTGTGTGTGTGTGTGTGTGTGTGTGTATACAGGGGTCATTTCGTAGAAAAAGAGGTGCAGGAGCTCATTAGCATAACTCATTAGCATATGCCACACCCCCTGACATCACCGGAAGTGTGTCAGAAGGCAACACCCACCTCTCAGGCTCCACTGGACTCTTTTGGATTGCTAGCTATTGGGGGGGGGGAGAATGTGCAGATCTGCCCTCACAGAGGAGGGAGAGCTTTTACCTGAATAAACCTTGGCCTTAAAGGTGCCACTGGACTATTTTGGATTGCTATCTGGGGGGAGGGGCTCTGCAACTTACCTGGCTGCTTCTTGCTCCTCGTGGCCCG